TTACAGATTAGCATTAGTTACTTCTTTATAAAGAACTAACCAACATTTAATACTAAGCCTTACAGATTAGCATTAGTTACTTCTTTATAAAGAACTAACCAACATTTAATACTAAGCCTTATAGATTAGCGTTAGTTACTTCTTTATAAATAAATAACCAACATTTAATACTAAGCCTTACAGATTAGCATTAGTTACTTCTTTATAAATAACTAACCAACATTTAATACTTAGCCTTATAGATTAGCGTTAGTTACTTCTTTATAAAGAACTAACCAACATTTAATACTTAGCCTTATACATTAGCATTAGTTACTTCTTTATAAAGAACTAACCAACATTTAATACTAAGCCTTATAGATTAGCATTAGTTACTTTATAAAGAACTAATCAGCATTTAATACTAAGCCTTACAGATTAGCATTAGTTACTTCTTTATAAAGAACTAACCAACATTTAATACTTAGCCTTATACATTAGCATTAGTTACTTTATAAAGAACTAACCAACATTTAATACTAAGCCTTACAGATTAGTGTTAGTTACTTCTTTATAAAGAACTAACCAACATTTAATACTAAGCCTTACAGATTAGCGTTAGTTAATGATGGATCAGCTGATGAAATGAAGTCTGAGATTTAAGACCACAACTGCTTACTGGCTCACGTGTTAATTATATGTTAACCAATGAAATAAAAATTGAGACTTGTCCTATTTAGTAAACCCAGCAACTCAGATGCTTGAATTATCTCTATATCAAGCCCAAATTACATCCAGTTTCATTGTCACTTCTTGAGGAAAAAAAAAGATGTATATACTGAAATTTCAAGTTTCTGTATTTTGAAGAACTAAAATTTGCAGAGAAAGAATAAATATAAAATGTTTCTTTTTTTAAGGAAATTTAATCTAGAGATTATTCATGTTTATTTTATTTTTTAAATTTTTATATTGGTAGGTGTCCTTCAGTTGCTGACAACAAGGACTTCACGGAGATTTCTTCAGAGTAGGCTAACGCCAGACATGGAGAGGAAGATTGTATTCTTAACTTCACAGGTAAGACATTTTTATTTCACATCTTCACAGGTGGGACGTTTTTATTTCACAACTTCACAGGTGAGACGTTTTTATTTCACAACTTCACAGGTGAGACGTTTCTATTTCACAACTTCACAGGTGAGACGTTTCTATTTCACAACTTCACAGGTGAGACGTTTCTATTTCACAACTTTCACTGGTGAGACGTTTTTATTTCATTTTTATGGCTGTTCATGTGATTAGCAAAATAATGGTAGAGACAACTGAGAGTTTGTGATTCAGTCTTGTTGCAATCCCACTTAATGTTTAATTCATTGTGTTGCTGTGTGTATAATGTAGTATTATTGTTAATTTTTACTTGTGTTGCTGTGTATAATGTAGTATTATTGTTAATTTTTAACTTGTGTTGCTGTGTATAATGTAGTATTATTGTTAATTTTTAACTTGTGTTGCTGTGTATAATGTAGTATTATTGTTAATTTTTAACTTGTGTTGCTGTGTATAATGTGGTATTATTGTTAATTTTTAACTTGTGTTGCTATGTATAATGTAGTATTATTATTAATTTTTCACTCATTGTGTTGCTGTGTATAATGTAGTATTATTTTTAATTTTTAACTTGTGTTACTATGTATAATGTGGTATTATTTTTAATTTTTAACTTGTGTTACTATGTATAATGTAGTATTATTGTTAATTTTTAACTTGTGTTGCTATGTATAATGTAGTATTATTATTAATTTTTCACTCATTGTGTTGCTGTGTATAATGTGGTATTATTGTTAATTTTTCACTTATTATGTTGCTATGTGTAATGTGATATTGTTAATTTTTAACTTCTTTACTATGTTTCGATACTCGTGGTGGTCAGAGCATAGATAGCCCATTGTGTAGCTTTGTGCTTAACTACAAACAAATAAGAACTCTGATATTCCACTCGCATATGTGGCTTTTAATGTTGTTTGTGTCTTCTTTGGTTTAGAGACAAGCACTTATGAGCTTGAGCTTATATGTAATTTTGTGTAAACTAGTGTTAACTGTATTGTTATGAGCCAAATTTTCAAAATTTTCAGTGTAACTTTGGCATATACAATATATTGACCCATATTCCTTCAATCTGAAATTTGTGTACATTCTTAAACTGATAATGATGACCTTTTGAAAGGAAGAGATGTCCACTGAACAGAGAGATACATGTTTACTGCCTTCCAACTTTCAGTTTAAAATAATTATTAAGCTTGTAATATTTTGACTCTTTCATTGTTAATATTTAATAGAATGTGTTTGATAATATCAGTTGTGAAGAGAGTGAAACACAGAGTTTGATTTTTCAGGTCAGATTTGGTCAACAGAAAAGGTACCAGGATTGGTTTCAGAAACAGGTGAGTCAGCTAAATTTTAGAACGTTTTAATTATGGATTTGAGATATCATGGTTCCCAACTCGTTAATGGCAAACAATAAACAAACCCAGGCCTGCACTTTGGGAGTCAGGAGTTGCTGATGGATGGTATTGACTAGCTGCCTTCCCTCTAGCCTATCACATCAAAATTAAGGATGTCTAGTGCAGATAGACCTCGTAGCTTTGCACAAAATGAAACATAGAATGGGTGACATGGCATGGTGGACAACTAATTCAGAAGGTTGCATCTTTGAACCTAATTGTTGTGGCCTTTAGTAAGACACTTTACCCAAAGTTTATTATCAGTGGCTGCTAACTAATAGCTGGGGATTAACCTGCAATGTACTGGCAATCTGGTTCTGAAGAAATATGAAAATATTCACCGCCATGTGTGCCACAGGAAATTAAAGTTAAACACCAGCTCTGTGAACCTTTAAGTCATGTAAAGGATATTCTGTGACTGGTTTAACTTGTGTAGAATTGAGGTTAAACTTATAGATGAAATGTTCATACCATATCTAGGAATCAGTATATTTTTGAAAGTTTACAAAAACAACATTTTCAAATACATTATTCTTTTTTTCAGGCTTCACTAGAATGATTAAATCTAGAGGTTTATAAACTTAATTTTTAAAATTCTGTGACCCTTATATTCACATTTTGAGAAACACCTGGAGATAACAAAACTGTGTCTGAAGATAACTCTTCCACTAGGAATTATGTTGTTTGGTCAGCCTATGTCCCTTAGTTTACTTGGTCAACCTGCATCCTCAAGTTTACTTGGTCAACTTGTATCATCAAGTTTACTTGGTCAACTATGTCCTTGAGTTTATGTTCTTTTCTTGTATGTTTTCAGATCAGGAGTTTGACTTAAATTTGCATCGAGACTATAAGGGCTGTGTATCACAACATATACATATACTTATTACTCTCAAAATTTAAAATCAAATGTTGGTTTATTTATTAAGAATCAAAATAGAGGAGAAATAATTATTATAGTAAACATATTAAAGAAGGTGAAATTAAATAAACGTTTTTTATGAATGTGACAAAACCTTAGCTTATTGTTTTGTTTTATTCCTTCTCTGTGTAATTTCTTTCTGTTTTCTGTTTAGTATCTTTCCACTCCTGACAGTCAGTCTCTTCGCTGTGATCTCATCCGTTTCATCTGTGGAGTTATCCATCCATCCAATGAAGTGCTTTGTTCTGACATCATTCCTCGCTGGGCTGTGATTGGTTGGCTCCTGACAACCTGCACATCGAATGTTGCAGCTTCAAATGCCAAACTTTCTTTATTTTATGACTGGTTATTCTTTGATGCTGAAAGGGACAACATCATGAATATTGGTAATCTATACTCTTCCTGTTTTTTCAGTTGTGCACATTTATAAATATTTGATGAGTCGAGAGAGAGAGATATACCATATACTATTCAGGGGCAACCTTATATCTAGAAAAATACATTTAATTAATCCGTACAATTTCAAACCTTGAAACATAAAACGTGTGTGTTTTTTAGCAATTTTTAAGAATTTGCACTGAGTTTACTATTTCGAGCAAACTTGTAATTACTGACCAAGGAATTTTGTCTAAGACCAATCAGGGAAGAAATCATTTTTCAATGGTACTTATGATCGCCTTAACTCTTAAGGTGCATACTTTCCTTTGGTCGTATCACACTCAAAATCATCGTCAGATAATTTAGGTTCGTAGCCAGAATCATTGTTAGTCTGTCTGTGCTTCCGGGTGTCTTTATCTTTAATTTTGAAAGTTTGGGATAATTCTTCCTTTATTACCTTGTCTGTTAGATAATCATTTTAAGTTGTTAGACAAGAATTTAAAATAAATTGTTTTTCATGTCACCATATTAAAGCTACAACATATATATATAATGTAAGCTACCTAAAATTAATTGATAAAATATTAGTAAGATTACATAATTTATTTTATTTTTTTTTTTTTACTTAAATTTAACTGGGTACCAGTTTTTTACATGCTGGCAAATGTTTAGTCCGAATTTAAAACCAATAAAAAATTAGTCGGAGATGTTAAACATTAAACAGCAATAATTATTATTTTTCTGGTAAATATTTTGGATGAAGTTAGTTTATAGAGTAGCACAGTAGTTGAGCAGAGGGTAACTTAACAGATTTAATGATAGAGCTCGTTAAACCACATAAGTCACACGTGACTAAAAATACTTTTATGTTCACAAAAATAATCAGTCAATTTTCCTGTCTAATCATGTTTTAAATTTGAAATGTGTTTTGAAGAGTTTATATAAATATAGAATAGTGTATTCTAATGTATATATTTGGTGTTTCTTATTGGCAAGATAACCTTTTTTTTTTTTATAGAACCAGCAATTCTTGTAATGTATCATTCCATGAGACCTCATCCAGCCATCACTGCCACACTGTTGGACTTTCTGTGTAGGGTAAGTAAATATTAAACTTGGTCCTAGACTTTCTCTACAAGAAAAGTAAAAAGTAAATGTTACACCTGATCCAGAACGTTTTATACAAATATTTTATGTGTTATGAAATTTTATATATGCTGTTGTGTTTATTTTTTTTACCAAATAATGACAAATTTTTACGTACTGTTAAACATTATTATTCTTGTTCTTTACCAGATAATGACAAATTTTTATATACTGTTAATAGATAATGACAAATTTTTTATGTACTGTTAATACATAACGACAAATTTTTATGTACTGTTAATAGATAACGACAAATTTTTATGTACTGTTAACAGATAATGACAAATTTTTATGTACTGTTAACAGATAATGACAAATTTTTATGTACTGTTAACAGATAATGACACATTTTTTATGTACTGTTAAACATTATTATTCTTGTTCTTTACCAGATAATGACAAATTTTTACGTACCTTTAACTGGTCAAGTAAAGCAAGGAATCTACTCTTCCTTGAGACAGATTCTTGAAAAAAGAGTTTTACCGTAAGTAACCCTAAAGTTGTGTATGTCTTATTTATTTATCTCATTTAGCACATTTCTTTTGCCTTTTGAATTATCACTTGTTACACATTAAGATTACTTAGCTTTGTTTAGATCCTTTATAAAATGTAACATTGATTAAACATGAAAGAGTTTGTTTCTCTAATCCACTATTCATAGTGTCTACAGTATGATGTATTTAAATTAAAATAACATTCAGATGTATTGGAAATGCTAATTTTATTAACCTAACAGAGGTAGTCTAGTTTACAGTTAAGGCTTTTCAAGGAGTTAAACTTGAGGTGAAAAATTTTTCCATGCTTTTGTGTGTTGCGTGGAAGATTATTTTATGTAAACATTAAAGTTTTTGACAAAAAAATGTGTAAAATATACTTTTTAAACAAAACAAACAACTTCCAATATTTTAATTGGAGCAAATACTCTCCAAAATAATATTAGCAACCTCCCATGGTAAATAATATTATCAACCTCCCATGGTAAATAATATTATCAACCTCCCATGGTAAATAATATTATCAACCTCCCATGGTAAATAATATTATCAACCTCCCATGGTAAATAATGTTAGCAACCTCCCATGGTAAGTAATATTATCAACTTACCAGGGTAAATAATATTATCAACCTCCCAGGGTAAATAATATAATCAACCTCCCATGGTAAATAATATTACAACCTCCCATGGGTAAATAACATTATCAACCTCCCATGGTAAATAACATTATCAACCTACCAGGGTAAATAATATTATCAACCTCCCATGGTAAATAATATCATCAACCTTCCATGGTAAATAATATCATCAACCTCCCATGGTAAATAATATTATCAACCTCCCATGGTAAATAATATTATCAACCTCCCATGGTAAATAATATTATCAACCTCCCAGAGTAAATAATATTATCAACCTCCCATGGTAAATGATATTATCAACCTCCCATGGTAAATAATATTATCAACCTACCAGGGTAAATAATATTAGCAACCTCCCATGGTAAATAATATTATCAACCTCCCAGGTTAAATATTCAGAAGCCCATTATTTAAAAGAAATGATTTGAAAATTTATTTTGTCAGAAGTGAAAACTGAACGAAAAGTTATAAAATCATTATTAGCAGCTGCCTTATAATTTATGTAGTAATTTAAATACACTAGAGGGAGTTTTAAGAGAATATCATCCATGATATACTTATTATATATATCCATGATATACTTATTTATTATCATTATAATTAAGTCAAAACTAAAATAAAAAGTTGAAATAAAAGATTTATCTAAAATACTTATCCTTTAAAGTGTTATCTTTATGATAATTTGATCATGTGTCATTAGTTGCAGAGGGCATGTTACAGACATACGTGCGTACTTTGCTTAGCTGCATTGCTATGGGCAGGTTACCTACGTGTATATATATATATATATATATATATATATAATGATATAAGCATTATGGTAGAATTGCCATTGTCCATCCTAGTTGTCAACTTGATGTCAGAAGAGATAATGCCTCTCGTAATAGCACCCAAATGTGTTGAGGATATCCAATCTACCAGAAAAAATCAAAATGCT